CTCCTCGAGCGACGGACCAGGATCTCTCTCAATTAATGGCTCGCAGTGTTCTTGCAGAAATCTCAACGTGTGAGCCTCTAGTGCCTTCACCATATCCTCAAGCGAAGGGCTGGGATCTCGCGCAATTGGTGGCTCGAAGTACCCATGGAAAGAGTTCGAGTGCTCTCTAAAGTGGTATTCATACTCATCGGGATAAAAGTAGTCTTGCTCGTCCCTTTGCCAACCACTAGGTCCTCTTATGCCTCGATCTTCAATCCACGGACCTCGTATCTCCCTCTCATACTGGTAAGGTGCCTGGTGGGTATAAAAGTCATGATAATAGACTGCCATCTCGAAAAGTTGCGCCAAGATCGATCAAAAAGGTCAAAACTCAAGTTACTCCCAAGAGTATGGGGGCAAACAATTCTGTGCAACAGAGTATGGGGACGCCCAGTATTCTGCAAGAAAAGAAAAAGAAAAAAACAAGGAAAAAGGGGGGTAAAAGATGATAAAAATAAAATTAAAAAAAAAAAAACTCAATTAGTACTCAAAAATCACAATTCAATAACGCCACTCCCCGACAACGGCGCCAAAATTTGACCGTGCGTCGCAACGCAGCAAAATTAGAATTTATATTTTCCTTAACTAACCTCTACCAACTAGCAGTAGTGGCGAGGAAGGGTCGATCCCATAAGGAGTGTGAATCAAATTGTGAAATTCTTGTGTTAATTGAAATTATGAAAAAGGATATATGGGGGGGTTTGAATAATAAATCTAATCTATCTAAGAATGAAATATAAATAAGAAAATAAAAATAAAATAAAATAAGAGAAAGCTTCTAGTTCACAAAAAGAAAAAACAAGGAAAAAGGGGGGTAAAAGATGATAAAAATAAAATTAAAAAAAAAAACTCAATTAGTACTCAAAAATCACAATTCAATAACGCTACTCCCCGACAACGGCGCCAAAATTTGACCATGCGTCGCAACGCGGCAAAATTAGAATTTATATTTTCCTTAACTAACCTCTACCAACTAGCAGTAGTGGCGAGCAAGGGTCGATCCCACGAGGAGTGTGAATCAAATTGTGAAATTCTTGTGTTAATTGAAATTATGAAAAACGATAAATAGGGGGGGGGGAGGGGTTGAATAATAAATCTAATCTATCTAAGAATGAAATATAAATAAGAAAATAAAAATAAAATAAAATAAGAGAAAGCTTCTAGTTCACGGTTTCGTCTACACCTTCGACCGACTCGTCTAATCAACTTTGGTATTAAATCTCGCTATCTTATGAAATTACTAGCCCTAGGCAACGACACGGTCTGTTACCCGAATTTTTTCTTATTTTTAATTTAATCGCGAGACGCTCTACGATTAAACCTGACTTCTTGTATAGTCCAGAAAAACGTTTTCAAGATTTAATACAATTAGCCGCTTTACGAATTAGAAAAATAGGCTAGACTAAGTAGTGAACTCAACCGTGTTCGCTCACTTAAATAGGCCGTGTTATCCCCGGTAGTTACCATCTTCCAGTTACCTCTTATGAATTAAACACAACAACAATTACGGATTGCAGGTCTAATTCAGATGTAGATATGAAAAACCTAATCTAGGTGATCAATCTAAACAAGACTAACACATCATGGTGAATTATTCAAAATAACACAAACAATCCCAAAAAGATATTGAAATCATCAAACATATAAATCAATCAAAACATCATCAATCGTAGGGTTCGACTTCCCCGGAACTAGAATAAAAGAACTATTCTAACATAATAAATAAAAATAAAAGAAGAAGAATATAGTTATCCTCCTCGTGTACGGGTGCGGCCTCCCTCCGCGACTGATCGGGCTCCTCGTATATGTGCTCTCCGTGCGGCTCTGTTTCTTTTTCGACTTTGAGTGGTGGCTCTGGCTTTTTGGCATAAAAATAAAATCCTCTAGTGGCTCTCCAATTATATATCTTCTCAGCAAATAAATCATTTTTCTAAATATATGACTCCTTGGCAGCCAATTACTTTTTCTCCCAATATCCCACAGCTTTCTTTTTTCGTTCCCTGCCCATTTCAAAATCTCCCCTCAAATAATTCTTCTAGTTGGGCTTAGTGTTTTTCCTATTCCTTTTTCTTTTTCCAAGTGTGGTTGCTTAAGTATTTGGGCCTTGTCCAATTAGCGCCTAATTGGAGTAGTATTGGTGCACCCCGTGATTAATCACCAGAAATTCCATCAGATGCTTCGAATCCACTAAATGTTCCAAAATACTGAAAATAATACATAAAACATCAAAACAAATAAATTCATCCAAATAATATATAAGTCGAAAAATATATAAGTGCGATAAAATTAAGCATATAAAAATACGCCAATAAATATATAAAATACACACTTTTNAAAGGGACTGTAGAGGAAGAAATAAGTCTTGGTATCGTTTAATTTTGTTTTTTTGACTATAAACTCGAAAATACATCTTATGAACCGAATATTATAGTTCAAATAAAATCTTGAGATTCAAAAAATTATTAAACAAATCCAAATAAATAAATAAAGATTATTATATATTGATAATTAAACTCCCACCCACAAATCCATAATGTCCAAAAAAAAGGATCATAGATTCCATACCCCAAGGTGATAATATATGCTACTTCCATGTTAGTATCATCTCATAATTTGGTCTTCATAACTTCTAATAATTAATTCTGCTGTTTTTGTACTCTCCACATTTAATTCACTTTTGAAAGTGACCTCACCTCGTATTTAATGCTTCTTGTCTCTTGAAACCATGCAGGGACCATGATATCTGGAGAAAGCTCATTAAACTGTGGGAGCAAATCTAAGATACGATCATAGACTTTATAATTATAAATTATAATTAATTAATTTTGAGTAAAATAGTAACACTAACGGACCTCTTAATAATAAAACCTAGTCAACTCTCACATTTGACAAGACCCAATTGACTTAATCAAACCTAACCATTAGACATTTTGATCACTAGGACTAGGCAATACGTAACATTCGGAGTTATTAATCGATCACGCTTACAAACGAAACGACTACGAGTTTTATTTAAAACACAGATGAATCGATTGGCGAGTTGACCGAGTTTAAGATGTTATTCCAGTAATTATCGGCAGGCCCAGTCGCGTTCGCAACATCCGCGAAGCCCTCCAAGAAACTCGGGATATCAAAAAAACAATCGTCCATAATATCCTTGACTTCACGAACCTGCACCACAGACGAATTTCCCAAAATGCCCTTGTGCCTCCCCTCTGGCTCCGCCGCGTAATTCACGGCGTCCGAGAAGTTGAGTATGGAGGTCGGGGACTCGAGCTGGTGGGGCCCACTGAAAAAGCTGTTGAGGGGCGAAATGTCCATTTTGCCCCTGTTGGTGGCCCGCCACACCTTGAGGATGTCGAGGCACGGGGGGCGGGAGGCGGTGGCGGGGGCGGAATTTGCAGCGAGCGGGGGATGGAGGGAGGAGGTGAGGCGGGACTGGCGGACAATTCGGGCCTCGGCTTCGAGGCGGGCCGTCTCCCACTGGGCCATGTGGCTGAGGTTGGCGATGTCCTTACTGGGCTGGGCCGAGCCGAGGGCGTGGCTCTTGGGCCTGTGTGTGGTGGGGTCGATGCCCATTTTGGTCAGTTTTTTTTTCAGGTGGGTGTTCCAGTAGTTCTTGATTTCGTTGTCGGTTCTCTTTGGGAGGTGGCTTGCAATGGCGGACCATCTACGATGATTTATAATAATAATAATAATAATAATAATAATAATTAAGAAATGTGAATTAATCTAATAATCATTAGAAAAATTAACGGTAGACGTGGAGAAATGTGAATCAATCTAATAATCATTAGAAAAATTAACGATAGACGTGGGTTGCACATTATATATCATGGCAATTTAATTCCACATGGGATGCCGATATTATATATTATTATTTTATTTTCTTCTATTTTACCTTGTTATACTTTATCTTTTCACCTTTGGTAAATTATAAAAGCTAGTCAATGGTAACCTGGAGATCTACTATATATTCTCTGTTCCATAAAAGACCAAACAACCTAGAAGAAGAAGTTGATAATCCCTTTTTGTTCTTTTCAAGTGTGTGTTCAAATATACTCATATATGTCAAATTATTTATGGATCATTACCAATATGATAATACTAATAAAAAATTTGAAAGAAAAAAGAAAAAAGAAAAAAAGGCTGACCTGTTTCCAAGAAGTGCATGAAGCTGGATGATAGTTTGTTGTTCTTGCAAGCTGAACTCTCCCCTCTTAATATCTGGCCTCAAATAATTTGTCCACCTCAATCTGCAGCTTTTCCCACATCTATGCAGCCCTAAACCACATAATAATCCAATCAAAATAAGTATATTACTACTTTATATTAAAAAAAAAATATATCAGCTTCACATACTGAATTAATTGAAAAATTGGACTTCATTTTCTTGATCTAAAATGATCACTTTAATCCAACTATAGCTAAAGTTGCACCATGCATGCAAGCTGGACAGAAAAAAGTGGTTTTCACCAAGAATAATTTTTATTTTTTTTTTATAAATTCTCAAGATAAGTATAATCCAAGGATAACTTTATCTAGTGTTTGGTAAGCTTGACTAATAATCAAGACTCACCGGCTTTTGGAGGAAGGGCTCTCCAGCTGCCATGACCGTGTTTTTGAATATAAGCGAGAAGCTTCTGGTCCTCTTCAGGTGTCCATGGCCCTTTCTTCAAACCCACTTTATCACAACAAGGGGACCTTCCCATTTTTTTTCTTCTTCTTATTATTANGTTTTTTTTTTTTTTTTTTTTTCTTCCTTTAACTAGCTGGAGAATTTTTAAAAGAATTTTTCTGTGTGTGTGATAATATAAGAAGAGAAGATCCCAAAGGGGGCCTAGAATTTATATATACAACAAAATCGAGTATTTAATGCCGGGGAAGAGTGGTGTACTCGGGGTTTGGTTTGATTTTATGTTGTGACAACAACTCAAATTTAATTTGCTAACACAAAAACAAAAGGAGGGGAGAAAAACTGACAAGAAGCTCAGATTAGATTCTGAGGGTTCTTTCATGTACTTTAAATCTATTGTCTTGTGTGTGTGTGTTTGCTAATTAATTTGTATTTGATGATATTATGATTAGTGGGATGGTACGAGGATGGAAGAAAATAATGATGATTATGTATTTCATGCAAAATTATTACTGTTTTCATTTTAATAATAATAAAAGAATGATTTGTATTATTATATTACAAGGATATATATGCAAGAAATGTGATGTGGTTGAATAATTCTTTAATTTGTTCTAGAAGCTTCTCTTTTTTGTTTTGTTTATGTGATAGGCCAGGAGTCATTGTGATTGCAGTAATGCGGCAACACTAGTGGTAGACAGTAGAGGACCTTATTTTTTCAATGTATTTGTATATTTTCATATTTAAATGTCATATATATTTTGCAAACAACAAAATAAAAGTATGAAATTTATAGCATAAGTATGAGCTAAATTTCATTTTTAGTACACTATGTTGACCATTTTCTAAAAATGGTCCATCATAAAGGGCGTCTTCAAGAATGGTCCACTAAGTTATTATTTTAATCAAAACTCGTATAAAAGCCAACATAGTGTACTATGGGCAAAAATCCAATTTTGGTCCTCTAAGTTGTTCATTGTCTATTTTTGGTACACCAACTTTTCCCTCATAAAAAATAATACGTTATGTTGCAGTTTGTATCACTATTGAGACATTATTCCAAAAATGGTTCATTATTTTTTGGATAATGTCTCAATAGTGATACAAACTGCAACATAACGTACTGTTTTTGATGAGTAATGTCCCAAAAATGATACAAATTGCAACATAACGTACTATTATTGATGAGTGGAAAGTTAGTGTACAAAAAATGGACAATGACCAACTTAGAAGACTAAAATTGAATTTTTGCCGTGTACTATGAAATGAGGCTTTTTCATCTAAGTTGTCATTTTATTTTATTTTATTTTTATTTTTTATTTTTTATTTTTTTTAATACTGCAATCAAATAAATCACCATAATAAATTTGTCCCCATGTGCACTTTACTAGTAATATTCAAATGATAGACCTACTGGTCATTTGTCGATTTGTCGCGCAAATTATTAGATTATAAGATTTCAAAAGTATTTATAAAGTCATCTGTCGAACTGTCATTTAAATTATAAATTGAAAAATAAAAATTAAAATATTTATAATACATACTATTACAAATTATGATGACAAACCAACGAATCTTTTGTCGAATTATGTATGTCATTTATTTAGAAGAAAAAATAAAATACTTATAATGTATATTATTATAAATTATAGTAATAAACAAACAAGTCATCTGTCGAACAACAATGGAAATTGTTTGCTTAGAAAAACAATTAAAATATCTATAATGTATATTATTATAAATTATAATGATAGATCAACATGTGTCTAACTATCATGTGAATTATATATATATTAGACTAGAAGAAAACTTAAACTTTTATAACATACATCATTAAAAATTATAAAAAAAATGATGTAATTGAAAATCAGTTTGTAATTTAAAATAATATACACCACATTCTTTTTAAATTAAGTGGCAGCTTATAATATTTTGTAATAATTTTTTAACTTAACCATTACTTATCTAGGAATCATAATAATAGTTTGTTAGAAAGTATGAATAATGGAAGAGAGAAGTATTTTTGTAATAACTATTTATTAATAATGTTTGAATATGTTAAATTTTTATGTTTTTTAATTTTCAACAATAATTCTAAAATTAAAAATTTTATAGCAGGTTAAATAAAATATACAAAAATCATGTATCAATATTATATATAATAGAAATAAAAGAGAAAATTAAAATTAATATTAATATTCAAAACTATTTTTATACTTACCAATATTCCTTCACTACTCTAATTTTATTTATAATTATTGACCGTGGGATACCTATTTAAGTCAATTTAATTATTATTATTTCTTTTTTTAATTTATTTTCTTTTTTTTTTTCTTTTTTTATGGAATGATAGATAATATTATAAATCAAAATGCACATATGTGCAAAATTACAGCCCATAGCTGAATAAAACAGCCAACAGCTAAAAAAGTGGGAGGACAGGTCAGAAAACCGCCTAGAACCGCAACTAGCCAAGCTAGAAACCAAAAACGAGATTCAAACACAACTGACACAAAACACTAAAGCAAACTAACACAAAGCTCCCCACAGGAGAATAGAAACAATCCCCAAGGGATAATCCCCGCACACAGGCGGGCTCACATAATACAGAAACCAACGGCCCAAACCAAAATCAGGAGACGAAAACAATACAGACTCAAATGACCAAAACCAAAATAAAACACCTAAACTAGATTAGCCCTCCCCCACAACAGGGAAAGCTCCACAACAATCCCGCCACAACAATCGAGAGTTCCCACCTGTAGGGAAAGCATACCGAGCCAAACATCGAGACTTGAAACTGCAAAAGACGCCTAACTAGATACGATACTCAGACCCAAAAACTCACTCAAGTAGATACCCACGAACCGGTCATCAGAGATCAGTCCCAAAAACATACCACCCCATCTACTCGCAATACGAAGTCAACCGACAACCTGAGCCCTCGACCATCACCATCGGCGTGAGCCGCCTCCCAGCCACAGAAACTCTCAACCGCCCTCCACACCACCACTGCCCAACTTCGGCTAACACCACTAGCCAGAAGACAGAACAGCGGCCTCTCCTGACCCAACACCAGAGCTTAGAGAAAAAAGGACAAAAAGGAGTCACAACGCCGACCACCACCGCGCAACCGCAGCAAGCTGCCCGAGCCATGCCACACCCCGACCAGGAGGCGCAGCAACGGGCTGTGTCCGAGCAGCCAAGAGCCAACACCTCCGTCGGAGTTGTCTCACCACCACCGGCCACGGCCAAATCCACCCAGCATGGCCAATCTTACCAACACCAGGTAAAAACAGACAAGGGGGTAGAAGGAAACCAACCTCTACACCAACCTCTGCCCGACGGAAGTCGGAATATGCCACCCAGCCTCTGCCATCAATAACAGGAAACGTGAAGGCCGGGGGCCCTGACCTGCGGCGACTGCGGCAAAGCCCAGTGAAACTCTCTCCTGGGAAATTGGGATTAGGGCACGGGATAGAAAAGGGAAATTCTATTACGAAATGCGGTTTTCAATTTAAATATCTTGAAAGACTTTTTTTTTTTTTTTGTTATTGATCGTATTATTGTGGTCTCAAGTTCATATACGTTAGTTGTTTCTGTGCTTTTATGTATTTCCCATAATAGAAAAGGTTTTAATTGTTGAATGAACATCTAGCAGTACAACAATTACAAGACTTACGAGTTGCTGGAAATCATGTGTTCATTGGCTCGGGTTCAAGCGTTGCCGCATATGTAGATTTCAAGAGTAAGCTAAATTCTTCAATTGTTGGTGTTTCGTAATTATACATCTCCATTTTTTGTGTTTAGTAATTTTATAAATATATTTATAAAGCTAATTACTTTTGCAAAATTTTTGTCATATTTTATATATCAAATTAATCATCTCTTGGCAAATCTCGATTTGACATCCGCATTGCATGTATCAATATTTATAATAAAAATTAAATTATTTATCAATTGTATTAATTAAAAAATAATAAAATTACTAATCAAATAAATTTATCTATCAATTCCATTGTATAATATAAGTTAGAAATTTATTACAATGTAGAAGGGATAAGCCGTACAAGTGACAAACGTCATTTTTAATATAAATAATAATATAATTTTTAAGAATTATTTAAATATTCTATCATTTAAGAAAAAGAATTATTTAAATATTAAAACTATAGTTTTTAAATCAATTCGGGAATCGACCCCCGGCCATGTCAAATGCTCGGATCAACCAGGTCAAGGCTGGGTTGACCGGGTCCGAGTCACTCGGGTCGACCTGTCGGGCCGATGTGGGTTGGAAAACTGTGATTAAAATGGAAACTTTTATTCTTATTTGGTTTTCTAAATTTTAGATATATACTTTTTATTAGCAATTTCGTGTTCTACTAGTTATATATTGAACTAATCTTCTCCGAGGCATGATAATGTTCTTCATTTATTTTAAATTTGCCTCAACGAAAGTTTTGTCCCAATTCATCTTGATTATCAAACGAATTGCAATGAGGCTCATTCGACTTCGAATGTCCTTTTACTTGCCAACGTTTCAGTTTATTCACAATTTGGTGCTTGCTTGCGTGTGCTAGCTTTTATAATTTAAATTGAGATTTTCAATTTCCCTTTATTACTCTTTACCGTATGGATAGAGGGTATCAGGGGAATTAAATAAAAACACAAAAATTTTAGGAAATGTTGAAATGAGAGAGTATCCAACTCTGAGAACTCCATTGGTCCATTAAAAGATGGATAAATATATCACTGGAGGCCCTTTAAATTGTAGGGACCTAATATATTCATTACCCTGAAATGAAATGAAATGCAAGTTTGGGACCATTCACCCTTAACTTTCTATAGAGATAGTTGTTAGTTTGTAATATTGAATACTTAACTTTCTATTTATGACTTTGGGACCAACTAATTTCCACTTTCGTGGTAGACATTAGTATCACTCGTAATTATCTGATCATATGTAATGTTTTCTTTGCCAAACTAAGGGAAAAAATATGTTGGGTGATTAATAATAATTGATTTGATGTTGTATGATATAGCCCAACTGCACCAGATTGACTAGCCTGGAGATAG